TGCAGTGCGATCAGAAAGATGATCCACAAAACGACCGAGATACTGCATCTTGCCTAGGAAGCGCTGCACATCATTCACACACTTCGGAGTAGGGAACTTTAGAATGGCTACAAGTTTGTCAGGATCAACTTGCAAACCCTCACGAAAAATATGGTACCCAAGATAAGTTCTGTCCTTGGACCCAAATATGCACTTCGACCGCTTCAACTTTAAACCAACGTCCCATAGCCAATCCAACACTTTGCACACATCACGAATGTGCTCCTCCCATGTCCCCTCTGAATGAATCAAGACATCATCAATGAAGTCAGTAGTCACTTTTGGCATATCATAAAGAACCTCGTCCATCATCTGCTGGAAAGTTGCTAGAGCATTGTTCAAACCAAATGGCATCACCAAAAACTCGTACAAACCAAACGGTGTACGAAAAACAGTCTTAGGAACATCTTTTTCAGCCATTGGTACTTGCCAGTACCAAACAAGATCTAGCTTGGTGAACCAACGACTTCACCCCAAACGATCCAAAAGATCAACAGTGTGAGGAAGAGGGTACACATCCGGGATCGTCACTTCATTTAACGGACGATAGTCGATGCAGAAACAAATGCTCCCATCAGGCTTCGTCACAAGATGAGGTTCACATGCCCAAGGACTTCGCAACTTCCGAATAACACCCTTCTCCAACATCTCCTTGACGTTTGCACGTAAAATCCTGATCTCCTTGGGTGACCGACAATGAACAGAAACCTTGATTGGACGAGCATCCCCGGTTGGAATGGGATGACGTGTGGCAATCTTGGCCCCAGAGGATAGGTCAAATTCAAAGAGATCACAATACTCCTTCATGAGCCGGTTAACAACTGCAACACAAAGATCGTTGGAGGGATCGAAAAAGGGAAGAGCAAAACAAGATGGAAACACAGGAGGAAATAGTAGGGGAACAAAAGTAATAGAAGCAGAGGTAAAAGTAAAGGGACGAAGAAGTATGGAAGTGAGAGGAATGGATAAAACATAAAGAAGTATGAGACAAGGGGGAGAAGCCTCAAAGTCACACTTGGCATGATTGTGCTGCAACCAATCCATACCAAGAATAAAGTCAAAAGTTTGACTCGGCACCACCCGCAACGACTGCAACTCAAGCTCAAGATCGCCCACACGCACAACCAAGTCCACCTCATCTCGTGCACATGCATGTGTACGGCCGTTGCCATAAAGAATGAAAACTAGGTCTACCGCATGACGCAAGTGTAGATGAAAATGTGTGGCAACAGGTCGAGCAATAGAAGATAAACTCGAACCTGTATCAACCACCACAGCGAGAATAATAAGAGACCTCTTGTTATAAAAACAAGTTTGGAAAGTAAACACTAGATGAACTGGTGCCGAGTGAACCCTTTGATGATACTCCCGAAAGAAAGATGGGGGGGTCACTAACTTATTCGCGCAAGGTCGCTCTGTTACTCGTGCGACTCCTCATTTTCCAGATACACCGTAGTGTCCAAACCTTCCACTGCAACAGCACCAACGGGACGTTGTTGATGCCAAGGTCTCCACCCAGGAAATGGAGGTTGCCAATCCGGAAAACGCCAACAACACTGATAAGTATGACCAACTTCATCACACGCCCAGCAACGAACATCACGGCCTCGACCACATCTTTACCCTTGTCTTTGGACTTGAGTAGCAGCAGCATCAACCTCCATTGGAACAGGACCATCACTCATAGGAAGTGGAGTTGAAGGACGTGCAACGAAAAGTGGAAAAGGTGACGTCTCATAATGTTGTGCCAAGCAAAGAGCATCGTCAAGGGTGGCAGGAGCAAGTGCATGCACAAGTCCGACAAGATCTTGACGAAGTGTTGGCCACAACATTCCTAGCTTGATCCGCTCCGACATATTAGACTCCGCATGATGCAAAAGACTTCGGAAACAAACGCCAAATTGCATTACTGACTCAGATGGCCCTTGGCGAAGACGATGCAATTGTTGGAAGGCATCATCACAATTGTTGGCATGTCCGAAGGCGCATTTGAAAACGTCCGGAAGAACACTCCAATCCCCACGAGTGGCCGCGCTCAATCCATTATACCACTGCAATGCCATCCCTTGGAGACACGTAGGAAACTCATGCAAACATTGAGCATCATCCCAAGAATGATATGTGGCAATCACTATGGAGTAATCAAACCAATGGTACATATCATCCCTAGGATTCCCACAAAAGAACTCCGGCCAAATACAAAGATTGGCACAAAGAGTAGGAAGAGTTGGACCACGTGCCGTAAATGCCGCCATCAATTGAGTTTGATTGTTCAATTGCAAGTATATAGCATTAAGCAATTGGACCAACTACTACTCTAGAGTCAAAGGAGGAGATTGCTAATTTGCCATGAAGATGAATGAAAAAGAAAAAGCAAAAGAAAAAAAATGACAAAAAGCCAGAAGGAAATGATAAATCTAGACAATGCAAAAAGCTAGATCTGAACCAAAATCCTAAAAAGGAAGAACAAAAGAAAGGAAATGGAAAAAATTAGATCTAGACAATGCAAAAGCTAGATCTAACCAAAATCCCAAATCTAAACACTCTTCAGGGACAATCAAAAGTGCCCTTTATCTCCACTAATGTGAGTGCATGGAATATAAAAAGGCAATATAGAAATGTGCATATCAATTAGCCCAAAAACTCTAGCTTATATACAAGAGCGAGTGGTCCAGATTGAAACAAATCCGACAGCTACCAAAATCCCACTATGCTAATATTAGTATACGGCATCGTAGCTGTATACTTGGCCCTTACAGCATTTGTTTAGTTTTTTTTTTGTTTTCCTAAATTGTTGAATACACCCAAATATATACCCACTTGGATCATTATTTTTATTTTTACATATGTAATGAAATTAATTACCCAATTTCATTGGATAATACTTGTTAAAACTCATCCTTTCATAAGATGCTCTTCCACCCAGATGCAGTAGAGTTAAAGTGGAGCTAAAAAAACCTTTGGGTCTGTATATCTAAAAAGAAGAACAAGCAATAAACACTCCTCCATTTCTCACCTACCTAAGACATTACATTTAAACTTATATGATTAGGACCCCCGCAACAAACTTGCAAACTTAATTGCAGAATCTCATGCTTCTTGTTAGGCACCGCAAGACTGGCAAAACAGAATGTAAATAGATAAACAAAGCAAAACGAATGAAACTGAGAGCTGCATTGGGAATTCACAAAGTTCAGTAGCAAATCCTTGACTCAAATTCATCAAACCACATGTACTGTTCATGAGCATGATTTTCAAAGTCTTGTGACGTGAACTGAACTCACGGGTGGTCTTCCAAGAAACATATTTAAGTATTAAACAAAATATACATTTTTGTTCTGTTTTTCTTTTTCTTAAATTGTTAAAACACTTATCTAAAACAGTACTTATACGATTGCGATGGAAAACACCCACAACAAGCTTGCAAACTTAATTGCAGAGTTTCATGGCACCACAAGACTGCCAAAACAGAATATAGGATAGACAAAGCAAAACGAATGAAACTGAACAAAGTTCAGCAGCAAATCCTTGACTCAAATTCATCAAACCACATGTACTGTTCATGAGCATGATTTTCAAAGTCTTGTGGCGCGAAGGAAATTTCTCACTTACCGAACTCACGGGTGGTGTTCAACGTTGTGTGGTCCACAACCTCTTTCCCCTGGACTATATAAATCCGTGTAGAAACTTGAAATATTATTAGAGAGGTATAGCATACACAGTTCCAATGGCAAGCTCTACTGCCATCCTCGTTGCTCTTGTTGCTCTTGTTGCTCTAACCCATTGTTTTGTACCAATCCCACTCGCAGCAGCCACTTCCTTCAACGTTGTCAATCGCTGCGGGCGCTCGCAGAACATCATCGTCCGCGAGAACGCCGGGGGCCCCTCGATCGGAACCTCCGGATTCACTCTCGCCCCCGGCGCATCTCGTGGACTAAATCCTCCGAATCGCTGGGCGGGAAACATCGGCACTGGAACTCCCGGCCTCCTGGCCGAGTTCTCGATCAACCGCAACAGCAACAATGACTTCTACGACGTGAGCGCCGTGGATGGCTTCTTCATCGACACTGGGATGAGCATCACTGGATCTGGCAGAGGTCTAATTTGCCGACCGGAGGCAGCGACTTGTCCGAACAGGAATGGGAATACTTGTGCCAGTCCCAACCGGAACGATCCAAACTCTCAGTACGCGAAGAACGTCCGTGCCAGATGCCCGGATGCCTATAGCTGGTCTGGTGATAACACCAAGACTTTTGGCACTGGAACCGGAGGAGCTTTCACCATTACGTTCTGCCCGTAAGCGATGATATATCAATCAATTACTATGCAGTTAATAACTTGACTTGCCCACGTTTAAGGGTAAATAACAAATAAAGAAAACTCTCAAACTGGTAGCATGAGAAAGAGTTGCGAGTCCCATCGCCTTACGAAATGAGCCCGGAGCTGTAAAAAGAAGCTCTCAAGATCATTGACGCCTAGATTTTCTGATGGAAGACCTCTCATCCCATTTGTCACACGCTGTGCTATGTGAGAAAATTGGAAAGCTTTTGTGATTGATCCGTTTTCCTTCGCCCAAATCATCAACTGGATTGACTATTCTAATGGATTTTCCATGCCTCTGTGCGACGTCTTCCTCCCCAAAATTATCATTCATATATATTAAAGGTGTGGCAGGAGGCGGTCCCAGGTAAAGGAATGCGAGCTAACTTCAGCGACAGTGGCTGCTTTGGATTTAGCATCCAGAAACACATTGATCTCACGATGTCTCGAGAAGGGGTTGCAGATCCTCTTGAAATTTCGTCAACGTCTTGACCATTTAATTGAAGCCATGAACCGATCAGCTGGAGGCTATGGCGTACAGCAGGTGCTTGCTAGGTCATGCCATCCTAAGATCCTAAAAACAACGTGCCGGGTTCGAATCATTGTCGTGTTTACTTGTAGATAAAATAAAACAAAGAATGTCCCACTGGAAGGAAGAAGAAGAGTAGATTCGCAAGGCCAATCCCGAGTAAAATGATACAATGTGGAGCAACTTTTCTACTTCCGTCTCTCGGATTATTCCGGGCCGAACAAAAAAAGAGAGAACCAAACACAAACTCAAACACGGATGTTGTGGCTTGCGATTCTGTAGAGGTTCCTGTCGAGCGAAGATCTGTGTGCTTTTGCCTCGGAAGCCATTGATGCCACCTGTTGTTTTGCACACGAATGAATCATGAGAAACTTAGCAAGGAAAACAAGCTCTACCTCCGCTCGCAGATGAAAGGCGGGTTTGCCAGACATGTCTCTCAGCTTCTCCAAGAGTCCTGAAACAAAATCATAAGAGAATAGAAGTGGAGTGATTCGTGCACCAACCTTGCGCATGGTTCTCTGTTTTGTACATGCTCTTGACAAGCGAACGAATCTGACTTCCAGCATTCCTGCGCGTTACAAACAACCAATAAAAACCAGGGCATAACCACACAAAAAACCTACGCCATTTTCGACTGGCCCCTCAGAAATTCATCTTCCGCAAGCCTGAACCTCTCCTGAAAAGGATGTGCGTAAGAACGAGAGAGTTGGAAATCAGCCGCGCGAACCTCGAGTTTTCTCTTTTCGTTCTTCTGTAGCTCAAGAGCTTCACGCAGCTCCACCACCTTCTTCTGCGCGCTTGCTGCCATCGCCTGGAAAGAAGAAGCGATTTAAACCAACAAAACATAAGAACATGCAAACCTCTTGGCTCCGGAAACGTCCCAGCGTGTACTTAAACAGTAGCCTTCTGGGGCCTGTTCCAGGTATTTAAGGTCGCACTAACTCACTTGCAAAGATCAATACTTACGTCGTAAGAACAGAAATGCCGCACCCGTTGCCACCATTGCAGCCATTCCAGGACTAGCAGTAGCAGCTTTCACACCATCTGAGAAGAGTAAACATATAAATCATCGAGCAAAAGACCAGAACAAAAGAGAAAAAAACCTTTCAAAGTTGAGAAGAAAACGTTCTCGTACTCCCGGTACTCCCGCTTGAATCTCCAAAACATGTCCTGCAAGATACGTCCTGCACGACGTCAAAAGAAAAATCCCTGTAGAAAAAAATCCATGGCGCTACACAGAAGCTTGTACGTACTTTCGCGTAGTAGTACTGAGTGGTGGACGAGTCCTGGAGCTCGCTAAGCTGGTTGCATGCCGCTCTCACGGCAACGTCCGTCGTCTCCGACATGCCATTCTTCAAAAACTGTGCTTGAGCCACCGCGAATTCCACAAAAGGAGCCGCCACCGCCATCACCGAGTCCACAACTGGGTCTTTGCGATCGTGATCCTTGTCCTTCTTCCCGTCCGAGTGAGCGCTCGCCACGGCCGAGCTCATCCTCTCATACAATGCGTTCACCACGTCCTCACTGCTCTCCTTCTCCATTTCTCCATTCTTCTCCTCCTGTTTTTCCTTGAGGAGATCCTCCTCGTGGCCTTCTTTCTCAGCTCCTTGCACTCGATCCGACGTTAGCTCCGGCCCCTGGACTTCCTCCGCCGCCCATTTCGATTCCTCTGGCACCTCCGGCTGCGCGATATTCTCCGCAGCGCTCTCATCGACCTCCTTGGGAGCGTCGGCACCATTCTCTGTCGCCTCAATGCTCTCGCTGCTTTTCTCCTCGGTGGCGCTCTCCTTCTCTCCTGAATCTACCTCGGAAGATCGCTCTCCGGCTGGCGCAGCAGGAGAATCATCCATGACAGCCGGCGGCGAATCCAGCGCCTCCTCCAGAGCTTCCGCAGGGATGTCCTCCGCGACAGGCATTGCGCTAGAACCCTAAAACTCCAAAAGCCCTAAAATGTAAACGCCCTTTTACACCTCGCACAAACCGGGGAAGATCCGTGCCGTCCACTTGTCGTGCAATTCTTTCTTCCCATCTATGGCGAGTGTGTGTGGCACCAGTGTAGCGCTCCTTGGTGCCCTAGCCGCAGCGTCATCGTCCATAGCTCCTCGCCAGAGATGTAGGTACGCTCCTCTCGACTCGTTCCCTAGGGCAGGACGCACTGAAATCTTCGGTTCTTGGAATGCCGGCAGCGCAATTCAGTCGCTTCCATCGAATTCTTCGCAATGGTGGATTTCCAGGCCAGGTAGAGCGCATTCCATTCTAGATATTGAATTACGTCGCTTGTTCTTGCAGCTACACAAGATTATTATCGATTGAGAGCGAGCTTGTGGGATTCTATCAGCGGGTAAGTGTTACTCGTGTGATTTTGAGCGAGCTCTTATCGTTTTTCTTGGCTACCTAGTGTTCTAAAGACGAACTCGTCGACTCCAATTGTAGAGCCAGTTCCCAGAAACGCGGAGGCAGAGATCGAGGGAGAGGAAGACATTGTCTTGGTAGAAAAATGCCAAGAGAATGGAACAATACAAAGGATTGTCTTTGCGACTGGAGCAGAGGTGGATGTTTATGAGCTACAACAACTTTGTGACAAGGTGATCTAGTCGTTCTTCTTTGTTCTTTTTCTCTTCATTCTTCTGGTTTGATGGATTGACATGCATTGATCGACAAACAGGTAGGATGGCCGAGAAGACCGGTTGGAAAAGTCGAAGCGGCACTCAAGAACAGCTACATGGTTGCGACGCTCCATCTTCACAGACAATTGCCTTCTGGAGGTGCTCGATCTTTCCACTGACTAGGTGAATTCTATAGGAGTAGAGGAAGTGAAGCTAGAGATTTCTCTAGTTTCCAGCTCTCACTATCGGAACCTTTTCTTCCAGGTTGCGAGGAGAGATCGCTCATTGGACTTGCTCGAGCGACGTCGGATCACGCGTTTAATGCGACGATCTGGGATGTTCTCGTCGATCCAGACTATCAGGCAAGAAAATCCATCGAGACTAACGTTTTGATCTCGTCTAGTTTCCTTTTGTACAGGGACAAGGACTAGGAAAAGCTCTCGTGGAGCAAATGGTGAGGGCGTTGCTCCGCAGAGACATTGGAAACATCACACTTTTTGCAGACGCTCAAGGTAAAGCTCTTCATCTCTCAATGTATATTTCTTTCGTGGTTTTTGACAACGTTTTCTTCGTTGGTCTTTGCAGTAGTGGAATTTTACAGAGCTCTAGGCTTTCAAACGGACCCCGAGGGTATCAAAGGAATGTTCTGGTACCCTCGGTTCTAGTGTACAAGGAAAGCGCAGGATATTCGCAATTTGAAATGGAAATCTAGGGTTTCTCGGGTGGTTTTAATTTTTAGGGCGATAGGAGGAAATGCGTGAAGCCGGACGATAGCGCTTGAGATCGCGATCGCTGTCTGTCTACTGCCACTGCGGATCACGCAAAGATTCAATCGCTTTGAAAATAATATTACATCTCAGGTAAGCCAATTCCTCTCGAAATTCTCAGCTCGAATCGTTGAAATCTCGCTCAACGCGCATTCTCGATGCGGAGGTTCTTGGATCGCTGCCGAAGAGATCGCTGTCGATCGAAGTGATAACAGATTTATTCTCTAGTCTAGGATGAATCAATCAACCAAAAGCTTGGATTTTGCCAGTCTCGTAATTATATAGAGCCCCCCCGAGCCGATGGATCGATGATGATCAAGAACACTCCCAAGATTTTCCTGGCGAGCCGCTGTTCCCAGCTCCAGCTCCAACCCCGGCCGAGGAGGATTTCATCGAGTTGTTGTCCCGCTGGCCACTGCTGTTACTGAAATCCACCATGTTTGGAGGCATCCTTCCCATAATCCCAGGTACGTTCGTCGCTGCGCTCACTCCCAGGAAATCCCGCGTCATTCTATCGCTTCCTTCCTCCACCTTGGGCATCAATCTTCCTTGGAGTCCCGCTGCCAGCATTGCTTGCTCGCTGAAAGGATTGTTCTTCTTCCCGGCCATGCTGCGTACTAAACCATCCTCCGCAGACACCATCATTTGAGCGGATGGATTCTCCAGCGCCGCCGCGTTCACACCTCCCAGAAGCGATGAGTACTGGCTCATGTTTGCCGCTCCAAACACGTTGTATGAGCTCTGATCCGGCATCATGTTCATGTGCTCGTTAGATGATCGCGGGACATGGTCGCCGTAAGCCGAGGACGATCCGGAGCCGGACACCTCCGCCGAGACGTCGCTGGGTCGTCTCAGGAGCAGCTGCTGGGGTGGCGGCTGGGAAGAACTCGGCATGTTTCCTGGCGAAGACGATGACCTCCCACCAGGTTGGTCCTGCTGCCTACTGTTTGCATGCTGCCAGAGAGCCCCCAGGTTGAAAGAGTTGCTCGACTCCGATCCAGCCAGTCCGAATCCTCTGAGTAGAGAAGTGTTGCTCGCGGTTGCTCCCATCTGTGCTGCCTTTTGGAGCAGTGCCGTGGCGGACATCTGCGCCGCGGCCGATGCCGAGGGTCCTTGTTGCCGAGGAACTCCAAAGCTGGTCGCGTTGCTTCCGCTGGCTGACGAGAGTGAGAGACCCGCTGTTGCCGAGCCACCAGCCCCGCGAGCTTCCATCCTATTGTTAAACGCTGCTATCATGTCTGCAATGTTGCCACCTCCCATCTGCTGCTGCTGTGTCGGCGAGTGGAATCCCTGTGCCGAGAGTCCCGAGTTTCCAAACGGACTGTTCGAGTATAAGTGTCCTCCCGGTGCCTGTCTCGGCATGTCCATCTCGAGCTGTCCGAGAATGCCCGCCATCCCGACCCCGTTGTGAATGCCTGCATTGTTCTTGAGAGAAAACGGTGAGCCTCCGGTTGGCGACGACTCGAAGCCTCCCATGCTGCTGTCAGCTCCCGGGTCGACCCACAGCGAGAGTCGGGGTGCCGCTCCTCCCGGACCGGCTGAGCCCCCGGCAGCCGCTCCCCATCGTTGCATTTGTTGGAAGTCGTCGCTTGGTACTAAGTGCTGCATTGCTCCCATTGCAGAAAGCTCGTCGCTGAATCCCACGCCGGCTGCTCCCGGAGGCATGCGGATCGCGTACTGACCGTGCGGAGAAGGTGGCATGTTGTTGTTGATGACTCCCTCCGGCAGCGGTGGCTTGCTCGTCCTGGCGCTCTCCTCCGCGAGCGCATCGCAGAAGGCACGATGCGTGATGAAGCTGTCCCTCCTGAGATAAGATGCCAACAATGGTCAGTAAGTACTCTAACCATATCTCTAGCGCTGCCTTCTTCCATCTAGCTATAAGCCTACTTCAGGTAGCATGCGAAAAAACTCGGATTTTTTGTCCTTTCCTTCTGGTACTCATTCGAGTTTTTGCAGGAATGTAGAGCCAAGCAAATTCATGGATTCATCCGCAGATATATCAAAGATGCGAGAGGGGCCGAGAATTGTTACCTGGAGAAGAGAGTTCCACAGTCACATCGATACTCTCGGGTGCCGCAAGTCTTCGAGTGCGCTTTCCAATCCGATTGCACAGCATACCGCTTGTTGCACTTATCGCATTTCCACTTCTTCTCGCCATGCTTACGACAAAAATGCTTCTTGATGCCGGTCAGGTCCCCGAGCGCTCTGGATGGATCATGATGGACACAGCTGACTTCTGGGCATATATACACTCGCTTGCGGGGCTCCTTGCTCGTCCTTTGCTTGAGCTTCCATGGGAGATTGTGGCCCCTCCGGTGGAGCTGCAGGTTCTGGTCTCGCTGGAAGCCCTTTCCACAAATTTCGCAGACAAATCGGTTTGTGGCCATGAGGGTCTTGGGTGATAATGCGATGACCTCCGCATCTGGGTCTGCAAAATTCGGCTGAGGTAAGAAGAAGAAAGCACTCAAAGGACTCGACTGACAACTTTATGGATTTGTTATGATCTAGGTCCCTTCGTGTGCATGCAAGATCAATCAAACAACGAGAATTTAGAGATTTACGAATCACGAGAGTAATAAAGACCGAGACTTGTACCTGGAGTTCCTGGCAGATTTCTCTTCTTTTTGGCGGGCGGCTGCTGCGGCTGCTGCTGCTGCTGCTGTTCCCCTTGAGCAGCACCACCTGAGATAAACCCCGGGTTGAAGGAGCCGTGGAGATGAGCCTGCTGAACTCCAGAACTGTCTGCTCGAGTGCCGGAATCGCCAGACGCGGTTGTTATATTGGACAGCGTCATATCTTCGCTCCGGCTGATGAACTCGAGCTCAATTTTGCTGCCTGGCCGATATACGGCCTCTCGAGGTAGAATTCTACTGTTGCTCCAGAAACCTTCTTTGCAATTGCTGCAGCTCTCGAGAGCACGATCTTCAGCACCGCAACATTACGCGTTCTGAGCTCTAGCCGCCCGGAGCCCGCTACCTAGAGACTCTTTGGAACCGACAAGGTGATTTTCCTGCAATTATCAAGGTTGGAGCTCGATAATTGTGTGCTTCTTGCTCACGGGAGAATCCTTGCGTTTGCAGATCGCTGGCGGCACATCTACCTCTCTCCTACAACTGGTCGGTACTGCTGTGATCTCCAAATCCCGATACTGTGGATGCCAAAGAGAGGGAGATGACAATCTCTGGCTGCGCTGCCAAGAAACCGAAGAACTTCGCTGGAGCTGCTTAACAACGAAGAGAGATGGGAGAGAGAGAGGCGAAGAAAGAGATTGAGGCGGGGGAGGCTGTAAGGAACATGCCTTTCCCATGCGCTTGAGAAGATGCAAGTGTTAACATAGTCACATCCTTGTGCAATCTTCCTGTTGATCCAGCCAGCCAAGAGAAGGGACCACTGATGCTCTAATCGGAACAGCAGAGCCCATCTCGGAGCATTTACAAAGGGACCACTTGATCAGCTCAACCAAACGGAAAGAGGAGGAGGAAGAGGAGCAGGAGTAAGAGCAAAAGCGAAAACAATGAACGACGAATCTCCAGGTAAACACCAAACTGTTTTTAACTTCTTTATCCTTGCGCTGGCTACGAGCAGCGTGTATGTGTGTGTTGTGTGTTGTGCGCCAGTGAGTGAGTGAGAGAGGAGAAGAGAGGATTGATCTTTTTCTGCTTCCTTGCGGGTGCTAACTATCGGCAAACTGCTCTCCACAGCCCTCGAGACGACGGAGACGACGAGGACAAAACAAAGGAACGCCGTGTTATGTGCAAGCCAACAAGCAGATGGAAGCAAGCGGAGCTTTCAGCAGCAGCGCAAAAAACGCATTCGAGGAGGAGGCGAATGCAACAACAACAAAGGTAGATCTACTTCTCTAGATCTGTTTGCTGCTGCTTTGCTGCTAGCTGCCGCTGGCTCATGCTGCTGCTGCTACTCTCCATTTTTCTTCCTCTCGCAACACTCTCTCTCCTTGAATTCGTTCCTTCCTTCTCCCAGAATAACACCACTAGTAGACACAGCACATTCTCTCTAGTCTATCCTGTGTGTGTAATATTTCTTCCTTTTTTTTTTGATTACTCCCTTATTCGTCTTTCTTTTGCTTTGCAGTGATTTAAAAGAGCAAACCAGTCTGTTCCAAGGTGGTCTGGAGTTCGAATCCTGTGTGAGTCCGCTCTGGCCTCCCCAAAAAAGATTTTCCCTCCTGGAGGAGGAATAGTTACTTATTCCCTTTGGCTGTTTGGGTGGGGGCTGAATGGATGTGTGCTACTCATGGATGGATGAATGAATGGCAAAAAAGCTTGCGTTTTGCAAACTGTTGAATGTGGTGGTGGTGGTGGTGGTACCAGTTGCTTTCATTTTCAAGCCCCTGCATTTCTCTCTTACATCACTTTGTGAGCTCCTCCTCCTCCTCTTCCTCTTCCTCCTCCTGTGATTGCTCTTTATGGGGACAAAAGGCTTGTTAAATACCAAGCTAGAATAGAACAGAATAGAATAGTTGCATTGGCTGAGCCAGGAGCAGGAGCAGTAGCAGGAGGAGCAGCACAAGCAGATATTTTCATTCTTTTTTTCTAAAAAAGAAAACATCTCAAATAACTCTCATGTTTTCCGTGTATATTAACTGCCTTATTTTTCTTCCTGCTACTGGCTCCTTCTCAGGGGAATCTTGAGGAGAGCGGGGCCAGCATATGCTCTCCAAAATAGGAATGGAGCCTGTTTCAAGGACAATAATTTGGAAAAAAACACAGGGGCTACAGCCCCCAAAGAAATAATTAAGCAGCCAGCCTCTCCTCCATAACCAACTCTTCTAACAGGAATAACAAACTGCCTCTTCGTTTTGGCCATGGAATGAAGGAATCTCTGCTGCTGCCAAATTAAGGGCATGCAACCCCACAATAATACAACTTTGTTTCTTCCCCACATTTATGGGTGCAATTCTAGATTTGGAAAGAAAGGCTGTGCTGCTGGGGTGGTTTGAATTTGTAAGCACCAGGTTCAGATTTGTTGAACAATTCAATTCCACCCAAGAAAATGTCACTGTTGGACTTGTTTGAATGTGCATAAGAAAGTGAAAGTGAAAGGTGGTGCAATATTGCTACCCCTAATCATATTCAAATGTGAAATCTACACTACATGATCCTCTCCCTCACCCTTTTGCCCTCAATCAGCTTCAATCAACACACGACACTGAATGTACCCCGCAATGCGCACTGGAAGCTGATTGATACTGTCAAGGTTTTCTAGCTCTTTAGCTTAACTGTTATATAAGGCCCGGCCTCTCTTGGGAGCTTCAACTCTCCCTTCCTGCATTGGTGAAAGAACCAGGCAAAAAAGAATGACAGTACCCACAAAGCCAATAACAATGGAGAAAATGACTAGAGTTCAGAAGCTGGTGAAGCACTATCAAATTATAGTGATGTATGTTCTTTACGATTATGTATCGAAACCCAGGCTCAGCAGAGGTATATAAATTGAAACTTATCAAAATTTAAGCTTCGGGCACATGTCTGTTCAGCAGAATTTCCAGGGCTTAAAGAGAGAAAGATATAATATTTTCTTAATATGTAATGCATGTCTGTCTGTCACAGGTTTTACAGACACCATAACAAATGAAGTTAAAAGGTAACTTTCCAGGTGATATCAACTTTGTCAGGCTTAAAAATTACCTTTTGTTTTTCTCCTCTCCTCTAATATATGTTTAGCGGCTGATGAAATCTACTTCTGTCAATCTCAATGCACTTATGTAAAAGAGATCACTCGAGATCAATGGGGTTGCAATGCGCGCTCCAAAAGTAATGTGCGGCTCCATACAAATCCTTCCAAAACAAAGACCTCCCTTTCCCTTGTTCGCTTGCGCCACAAGTATATATACTAATAACACTAGCCAACATTCTTGAGATTTTTCGCTTGTATCCCTAGTTTGTTTGTTTTTGTCCCTCCGCAAAACACCAGAAGAATTGATTGATCCCAGCCCCTCCGGTGTTGGGACGTGAAAATGCACACATTCCCCTTCTTTGGAGCTATGTTTGGTGACGAGATCGTGGCATTATAGTTATGTACGCATGGCAAAACTATAAAAGTTAAGCAACTAGTATCATTAGAGCACTAGTTTAATCATGGTTTAAAAGTTTCCATTGAGTTCCGGGCCCGGTCAGCTTATGATTTTGGAATTGATTTTCGTGGGTCATGAGCAGCAACATGGCTGGACGACTGGCCAACAATCTGATCGATGCTGCGACTGCGGGGGCCAAAAGAAATCCTAGAAAAAAACTCTTGATTCACTGGAAGAAAGAGAGTAGACTACACACTACCACCACCACCACCACCACCCAAGAAGACGTGTTTCTACGGCCAAAACAATTTGCCCTCCATCCTTTTTCTCTAAAAAAAAGTCCTTTCCATAGTCAGGTATCTAACGAGGAGCCGTTCCTTGCGTTGGAGGCTTTCTGTTGGACACAAGCTGCTGGCGTTTTCTTGGTGAGAAGATTCCCCCCTTTCTTTTCTCGCAAGGGCCCAGGCAAATGCGAATATGCCACGCGAAGAGGCATAGGAATGGGTAGTAAAATCAAGGAAAATATTTCCTGTCATAGCTTATACGCGCCTCAAAATGTTATGAATTTTTGTGATATTGGTATGCGTTTGGTGGTGGGTAGCTGGCCTGGCCAGCGTGGCATGGTGACGTGTGCCATGGCCCGCGCGATGCCGACATCCACGAACGTGGCAAAGACGCCTGGGTGTCGGGGATGGCTTTGCATGGCCCCATCGCTGGCCATGACACGTCAGCGAGCTGGCATGCTGACGCGGCGCTTGCCGTGAATTGGAATTTCTGGTCATGTGTTGTACAGTGCAAACCATTTGCATACGAGTCTAGGGTCAAGATTTTGAATCGATCTCGCGCTTTTGAAGTGTACAATCCGGAAGATCACAGGGACGCATTCTTGTGTATCGGGTGGTCCCGGCTCTACTCCTAACTCTAGGTTATGCAAAAAAAATGACCAGGACTCCAAAGTCATGGTTTCTACCTAGGATATCGACTTTTGCAGTTTGATCGAGCTGAGATCGCAATATGGATATAAAATTGGAGACAACAACGTGAACACCAAATATAATGAGAAAACAAATGTTATGAAGTTGGTCGTCCATTGGCATCCAGCTCTCCTGTTTGTTTGCAAACATCCCTCGGGAGGGGATGGGCCCCTGTTGGGAATATAACAGGTAATGCTGCTGTGTGAGACCGTCCGTATCATGGATTGCTGTACCACTACAGTGGTGACATGCACGTAGCTATATACGTATGCATCCCCAGCGCACCGTACTTGAAAGTTGTGGAATGCACAGGGACATGAAAGCTTCACAGGAGGGTTTCCTTCCTTCATGATCTTATTATTTAAACAAAAACCTCTTTCTTTTTCTGTTTTCTCATTTGCAACTTGCTGGGCTGGGCTGGGCTGGAAAAGAGGGTGGTGCATTTTTCATATTGAATGCAACACAGAGCAGAGAGGAGTTAGGGAGTGAGTCTGATGTATGTGTGTTGTGGTCATATGCAGAGGTGGTGATACTTTTTGTTGCAGGACCCCTCCTGTTGCTGTTCCAACTTTCAGCTGCTTCTGTAAAAACTTCACTAAATGTGCCCTTTTCTTCACTGCCACCCTCCCTTCTGGCTTGAGAGATGTATATGGGCTGCCAAACAAAATGCCAACTTCTCTCTTACAAGAATAACAACAGCTCCATGGCTGCAACTTACTCATGCAGTGCAGGTCAGGTTGATATATATATATATACAAGAAAAAAGTATAAAAAAAAAGGAAATAAAGGCCAAAAGAGATGACGTGGCCTGTACGCACGTTGGCATTCCGCTTGTCTCTCCGTACATGTGTGAATGTTTGCGGGGGTTTAATCATTTAATGCCGCGAGCGATGCCTAACCCAAGTACTTAGTTCTTCGTACGTTTTCTCTCCGCGTTACGTAACTGTGCCTGGAAAAGAACCGGTACGGCGTGGCCAAGTTCACGTGTGTGCCTGAGTTGAGGGGATCTTTGTATATCTTTCTTTTCACACTGTTGTTTTATAAGGAACTCTTTGGTGGAACTTTCACGAGAGTTCGCTCTCGTGTTGATCGAAGTTTCTTCTCTGTATGTTACAGCTTGATCAATGAGAAGGGCTGGATCAAGATGGCACCCCAGGTTACAGAGAGTCATTCTTCTCTCGTGCAACGTAAAGGAGCAGCCATTTGTGACAAAAGCTTTGGAGCCCCACAGCGTTTGTCTCCTTCCTTTGGCTACAAACAAACGAAACAACGGGTGTGTGGTGCTGCACCCTCTCAAAAAACCAAAAACCAAAATCAGGAAAACTAGAAAATCTCTCCAAGAAAAGAGGTGGAAAAAGAAAAACGGGGTCAAGTCCCGAGCGTAAAAGATCACAACAGACGTGGGGATTTAAAAACGGTTGACAAACGCCATTTTGACCCGCGAGCGATTGCTGAATTCGCGGGCATTATAGTAATTTATTCATACATATATATTCGGGTGAGATATTCCCTTCCATCTATATCTATCTATCTGAAAGGTAAGAAAGACGAATACTTTTTCATGTCCATCTGTGTTTGCACTTGCATTCAATGACAGGAAACAAATCCCCAATTTCGCGCTGCCCTCTCGCAAAACAACAATCCATCGCAGGGGGAAGAAAACACACAAGCACACAAATCCGGGGACGGGGGACGAGCGGGCGATCGGGCGGGGCACGCATTCCCATGACCCGACCTCGAAAATATATTAAAAGATTCCGAGGAATATAGAGAGCATAAATGTTGTCTACAAGTTGGTTAAGTTGCCAAACGCGGGCAACCTTCTCATGGGGTTGCGTGTAACTCCTGACAAGCCCATGCATTTGATAGAGGAATTCCATATGATGGAGCGAGTGATTGATTGATTGATGGGGTGATTGATTGATTGGGATCTCCTCGACCCTTTCTCTCCCCCGGGCTTTTTACTCGCTTTTCATCGTGATCTCGGATCGAGTTTGAGTTTCATCAGAGCACAAACTTCTTTTCTGATTAAATCCTTGCGATGCTGCAAATGCCAAGCAAACCGCCAAAGCATATCTGACTCTTGTTCGAATCCCTGCAACCAAATTACGAGTGCCGACGCGGGATGGGATGAAAATGTGTCGTCTAGGATGAAAGAAAGAGACCCTAGGATTGTTCAAATATAAAAACTATACACGCCCAAAA